TTAAGATACTTTGTTGAATTGTAATTTTGTGATTGTAATTCTGTACATTTAATTAAGTTATTGTTAATTGTTATTGGTTTATTGTATGTGGTTATTGTTCGGGACGAACAATATTAAGGAGGGGCAGTGTTGCGTCAGCGAGGTCACGTGACTAGTGTCACGCCACCTGCTTTCTAGAAATATCCTGTTCCTTCGTGAATGCCCTAGCATTTACTAGATTGGGGGTAGCCTGGAATATATAGGATGGTCACAACGTGACGGGACAATGTGTGTAGGTAATGAGTAATTGAACTGCAGTCAGAGAGAGACGTGTTGTTGAAGTTGAGCTCGTGAGACGTGAATTATTGTTTGTTATAGCGCGACTGTTGAAGTTGAGTATATCGTAAAGTTGTATTCGGAAAGAATAAACCAGTTTTATTTAAGAAAGGACTTGTGTCGCTAAAGTTTCGTCGGAACGAATTTACGGAAAATCAGTTAACAAACGGAGACGTAACAATACTAATAACCTTTCAATTGACAGTAATTAAATGGTTAAATAATTATATCAAAATACTATTTTCAGTTAGAAGATATTTGTGACTACTCCCTTTCGTATGAACGCATATCTATAAACTACTATATGTTTTTTAAAATATCTATTTAAAAATTTTCTCATTTTGAACTTTTATAATTATTTTCATTTATGATTCAGAAGTTTACTGTAAACGTGCCTATTGTTTGGAGATTATCTGCAAAAGTTATGAAAAGTTCAACTTTCAGAGGTTTGATTGTTCTTTCGATGTTTCTTCTGCGGACTTTTTGTCTTTACTGGGCAACATTCTCTTTAGATATGGAAGGTTTCAGAAAAGAAATGTAGATTTCACTTGTTGCTAAGTGTCCTTTTAACTTTTTTCCATCCTTAAAAGTAGAGAATAATCAACAAAGCGCCACTTTGCAAATAAACTCATCGAAACTGTTTACAATAAAGATAGATGGCACGATGCTACAAATAACACTGACATCAATAAACTTTGTTGTTGTTTTTTCGATCTATTTAGTTAATCATAATAAAAACCATCCTGTTATTCAAATAATTTGTACAGTCTCACTAAGAATAAATGCTAATTTTACTGCCAATTATAATTCAAATATAGAAATTGTGTTAAAATACAAGGTTACAAAACTAATATAAACGAAAATTGGAACCTGAAATGTTCTGCTTTTTTTTTTTACTCCAAAACACGTTACTAGAAGATTAAAGCCAAAATTTGTTTCTTCGCCAAACAATAAAACATCGGTAGCTCTGCTTCCAGTACAATAACAGTCGATATTATAATACAGTATAGGAAAATGAACATTATTTGTAAAAGGGTTTCTTGGTTTATTAACTTCCTAGAGTTTATCAAATTCTAGGAGTGGGCCGTTTTTTCTTTTACAAAGACACAATTGGTAAACATTTTGAAAGTATATTGTTATCATATAAGACTCAAGGTTTAATCACTGTATTACCATAACATTACAGATCGAAATTCAAACTGAAATATTACTTGGTGCCCTTGACGATTGACTTTATCGAATTATGTATCTGTTTAAACTTTCTACATTAGTGGATGTAGATGAATATATCATCCCTCGACAACATAAAACTTTCAATGAACTTCTAAATCATCCCAAGCTAAGATATTTGGATTGCAAAAATATATATCGCAAGTATTACTACTACTGGGTATGTCTGATGTTACAAGGAGAGTAGTAGTAGTAGAAAATGTAATTATAACAACTGTCAGAAATATTTAATGTTGCGAATAAAGTGATGACCATAGATTACCTAACGATCTATTTTCCAGGTAGATTTTATTTTATACCGGATGTGATAACTTGACCATCCCAAGTATTAGCTAAGTCGACGTAATGGAAAAAGTGGTAGCAGTAAATAACGTAACCGTTAATAGTGACATGCAGATTTGATGTTATGTCCCACCCAGCCTGATGAGCTCTGGATTGAGCAAAACGCTTCGTTGGCTATAGATATAGCGAAAATAGTTTGGTTGGAATACTCTTATTATACGCTCTTCTCATTCTTGAAAACCCCTAAGATAGTAGATAAAGAAAGCAGTGTTAAAAATATAATAGGCCTAATACTAATGTCTTATGGCAAGTATAATTAATTGTAATTATATTTCTCTAGCTAGGAAAAGACGTTCATACCATAACGTGCAGCATAGATATATATATTGGCATGATAGAAGTCATCTTCAGCTAAGGCAGTTTTATTTTTCTATTAGGGTGGTTGGCCTTTGAAATGGGTTACCTTCAATTGCAGAGGATGCAATGAATTCAAGCTTGTTAAATATTTCAATGATAAGCTGGCTTTGAGTTGTTTTTAAAGTTTAGTTTAACTTGGTGGAAGAGAGGGCCTAGATGGAGCAACAGATCTTTTTTATTGTCTTTAATTTTTATTTCAATATTCAGTCGTATTAAATACAAAAATTAAGAAAAGATTACATTGATATAAAGTATTTGACGCTTGATACAAGGAACCCACTTTCGAAACGTTGTACATTTATAATAAAGTTTTTTCATTACCCAGTCAAGCCATTTCAAAACTTTTACGTATTTGATAAAGTATGTTAGAGAACATAGGGGGCGTTAAAGACCATGTACAAGCGTATGTTAACAAATTGTTGTGATCTCTCAATGTGTTACAAATTGTAAGAACTGGAATACTAAATTAGAAAATATCATTAAGAGAAACTTGTTGTTAATGTTTATCATTCGTCATATTTCGCGCAGAATTTCCAATATTAAAAGAAAGGTATTTTGATATTTTTGTCTTAAGTGATTTTGGAACTTAACGGTCGAAGCCTAGTACTATTACTCACTGTTTTGTGTGGCTAAGCCTAAATACATCTAATTTACTACTAATTCTTAGTATATGCAATCTATAAAATCTAGTAATGCTAGTAGCGTTAGATCTACTGCTGGGAACTACTACTAATCCTAGTAACGTAATTGCATAGCTAAGAATTTGTATTTAGTGTTTCATTTTTATATTAGCTACCAACTAGGTGCTACATTATTATAATTTATAGTATTAGTAATACATTCCTCCACCAATGGACCATGGGCAAACGAATGTGTACAGTGTAGGGGTTTGTTTAAATTTAATTTAAATGAAATTGAGTTCAACTATAGGACCAATTAGAGTACAGTAAACGATAATTACCTACACGAAGTGGTTCTCTACATAGTTTTATATAGAAATCCTTGTTGTTACATTAATAATGCAATCACAATAAATAAAAAACGAAAAAATTTATATTTGTGTTTTTGGACATATAGCTATTCTCACATGAAAATTTAATATCAATATTGTTTATAAACTACTTTTTAGAAGCTGTAGTTCATACTCTGTGCTGCTTTTACATTTATTGTTTATGATGTATTGTTGCAAGATGCATACTGTGAGTAACATAATATATATATATATATATATATATATATATATG